TTTTTCAGCTGTTTTGTTCATAAATCAGGGTATCAATTTTAGCTGACTTAGCCACTTTGTTCATGAATAGGGTATGGTTTTTGCACTGTAGCCTTGATATGGGTATTTTTTTTAAGAAGAAGCCACATTTTCATCATTATGGAAAAGAAAATCAACAAAAGCCCCAAGTCACCAATTCTGTTTACGGTAATTTAACATTGGTCTGAACTAGGGAACTAATTGTAATGCAGATCTGAAACAGGGTTTTGATTTAAGGGTCACGTCATAAATAGGGTTTCGAATTTATGGTCAGGTCATAAATAGAGTAGGGAATATCACAGATTTTGGTCATAAATAGGGTAAAGGTTTTGGGAAGTGGGCCGTAGAACCGCGCCCAATTTTTCTGGGAGTAACCCCCCCCCCCCTCAGTTTTCATTTCCCTCCCCTTCCATGTTTCTTTTTTTTCTCTCTGTTGAACCCCAAGGTTTGATGTATCTTTTGGGTTCTTGGACTTACATCTTACAAAATGCTTCTTCACAACTTTGGGTTTGATGAGTTGATAGTTTTTATGCTGCAATGCTGCCAGATCCAATGAATAAATTTCTCCATAATTTGTACAGCTAAATCATTTTTGACACTTTGATTTACCTTACAGCTACTTACGAGCTGCTCCCGTTGGAGACGAAATAAGCATATATGCAGAAGTTGTTAAGATGGGTCGGACATTGGCCTTCACCTCTGCTGAACTGCTGAACAAAGATGGCAAACTTTTAGCAAAAGCAAGCCACACAAAATTTATTGGACAAAGCTCACCGGCTATCAAGACAGAGTAGACTTAAAATGTTTCTAGTCTGTCAGGGATCTATGTATACAGTTGGCAAGCCTTATCAATTTTTCCAAAGAATTATCTGTCAATCAAGCAAAGCTTTTCACAAGCAGAAATCTTCACTACCATGGGGTGGATTAAAACGACGCATTGAATATTAAATTATGTATTTTTTCCTTCAAGCCATTATAGCAGAATACACTATCATTAGTGACTTGTAAATATGTTTTAATTGCAAATTCACGTGCAGGCTGTTAATGAAAGGAGAAAAACAAGGATTCGTAACTTACAGTACGGACCGAGAAAACGAAGTTAGTAAGATAGTTATTAGGGAGCTTAAGCAAGCCATGATGACGACAGCAAAGCCCCGGCCAAGCAATCGCAACAGTTCAATGCAACATATTGCAACATTGTTGCCCCTGTATTTGCAAGTTCCGGCCAAATGATCACAAAATTTTGACGCAACATGTAGCAATTGAGCGCAACATGTTGCATGCGTTTGGCCACCCTTTTGCAACATGTTGAAAGTTGAAAATTGAACTAGTGCACATGCCCTGGTGCAACATTGTTGCACGAACCTGGCCAAATGACTACGTCATGCAACGTCCACAAAAGTTGTGTGAAAAGTTTGACCATTTTCAAATTTGAGCCAACAACACCCAACATGTCACAACACGTCACAACATGGTGACCAAACGCACGCAACATGTGTTGCAATATGTTGCGATCGTTTGGTTGGGGCTTACCGTAATGAGAAAAACAATAGCTGTGCACATGTGTTATAAATCTTTGTACATTTCTTTGCAGACTCTGCAAAACAACGTGAAATGACCAAGTTCTGCGTAGTCTGAGGAACGCAAATGACTACGGCTAATTTTCCATATTTGGAAATGTATGCTGTCANATCAATTTTTCCAAAGAATTATCTGTCAATCAAGCAAAGCTTTTCACAAGCAGAAATCTTCACTACCATGAGGTGGATTAAAACAACGCATTGAATGTTAAATTATATATTTTTTCCTTCAAGCCATTATAGCAGAATACACTATCATTAGTGACTTGCAAATGTGTTTTAATTGCAAATTCACGTGCAGGCTGTTAATGAAAGGAGAAAAACAAGGATTCGTAACTTACAGTACAGACCGAGAAAACGAAGTTAGTAAGATAGTTATTAGGGAGCTTAAGCAAGCCATGATGACGACGGCAAAGCCCCGGCCAAGCAATTGCAACAGTTCAATGCAACATATTGCAACATTGTTGCCCCAGTATTTGCAAGTTCTGGCCAAATGATCACAAAATTTTGACGCAACATGTAGCAATTGAGCGCAACATGTTGCGTGCGTTTGGCTACCCTTCTGCAACATGTTGAAAGTTGAAAATCAAACTAGTGCGCATGCCCTGGTGCAACATTGTTGCACGAACCTGGCCAAATGACTACATCATGCAACGTCCACAAAAGTTGTGTGAAAAGTTTGACCATTTTCAAATTTGAGTCAACAACACCCAACATGTCACAACACGTCACAACATGGTGACCAAACGCACGCAACATGTGTTGCAATATGTTGCGATCGTTTGGTTGGGGCTTACCGTAATGAGAAAAACAATAGCTGTGCACATGTGTTATAAATCTTTGTACATTTCTTTGCAGACTCTGCAAAACAACGTGAAATGACCAAGTTCTGCGTAGTCTGAGGAACGCAAATGACTACGGCTAATTTTCCATATTTGGAAATGTATGCTGTCATTGCATATTTAGCCTGAGCACGCTTTTAGAGCCATTGGCATACGGAACAGATTTAGACAGTTGCAAATTTCGTTGATAAAACATAAATTCATTTTGACTAGGCGT